TGTCCTTATGCACTAGATTTTGGCAAAGACCAACTGTTTGCCAAACAGACACTGACAATGGATGGATACCTGATGCTATAGCTCTCTGGATCAGCAGTTGTCATGTGACATGAGCGGCACCATAGAGTCCCAAGGGACGGTGGGAATGAATGGCAGCTCACTTCACACAACTCGTTGCTTGTTTGAAGACAAATCTCTTCTTGGTCAACCCAACTTCCCAGTTCAGTGCTTATTCAGATTCTGGACTTGAGGTCATGCACATGGTTATGTGTGGAATTCTGTCCATCGATGTCATTAAATAAAGTATGAAATAAGAGGAGTTCGTAGAGGATGGAATCCTTACCTCCAATTTGACTTTTTTCGCAACTTATTTATTTATTTATTTATTTATTTGATTTATATCCCGCTCATCTGATACATCTGTACCACTCTTCAAGGGATGAAAGTAGCTATTTTGGTTCCATAGTACCATTTTCAAGCATGGCCAATTTTAATTGTTAGACTCATTGGCTAGAATATGCTGGACCTTAATGTTGAGGACAAATTATGATCAGTGAAGGTGCCGATTAAACTGCAGTTCAATTGCCGTTTGAGATTTTATTGCAATTCTGGTGCATTGCATGGAAAAGAAAATATGAAATGAAAGAGAACATTAGAAAGGTGGGCGGGATTGTCTCCACAACTTGCATTTCTTTCTGTAGGCTATACAGAATGGGGGGTTGTTGTTGTTGTTTTGGAAAAGGTACTTTCCGCAATCCAGAACTTCTCCAAGAGGGGACCATCTTATGTTAATTCAGAGTACTGGGTCATTGAGTGAAGTGCTCTGGATGCTACCTGGATAGCACCACCCACCTTCCAGAGAGTGAAGCTTGTGTATCAGCACAAAGCTACAGGCTGCCCGGTGTAATCCTCAAAGGGAAACCCATCGGAGGGCGGGTAAGATCACCTAACACATCTCCAGGTAGCGTCTCTGATGCTGCCAACTCCCAGGCTGTGGGTGAACTGGCCAAGCCAGCTGAAGGGCGGCAGAGAAAACCACTTCTGTGACATGAACTAAACTCTCCCAGTCTCTATTCAGTCCAAATCTGATAGCATCAAATTTAATCTAGATCGGAGATCTAGCCGAACAGCGTTTCCTTGGAACACCCAGAACATGCCAACTCATGCCAGCTTCTTCTGGATGAAACAGAGCCAGCTCCATCACTCAGAAGAAGATAGGCCCAGAAATTGGGTATAGCACCACACACTTCTCTTTCCCACTGGGCTTGTCTCGGGGATGATGTCCACCCACCTGCTCTCCCCATCATCATCATCAAACTCATGCCAGCTTCTTCTGGATGAAACAGAGCCAGCTCCATCACTCAGAAGAAGATAGGCCCAGAAATTGGGTATAGCACCACACACTTCTCTTTCCCACTGGGCTTGTCTCGGGGATGATGTCCACCCACCTGCTCTCCCCATCATCATCATCATTTCTGGGCAGAGGTGGAGAATGCGCCCCCCCCATGCATGCGGGCACATACACACCACAAAGAGA